ATCTAGCGAACGCTGCTTCCATGACTTCGTCAATGGCCAAGTTAAAAAGGAAAGGTGACAGCGGGCAACCTTGTCTCACACCGCTGGAGATACTGAATGGCGTCGACAGTTTGCCATAAACCCTCACTCGGCCCAACTATGCGCGTACAGCACTCTGATAAGGTTCCCGTATTTATCGGGCACATATTTCCTGAGCAGACAGTCCCAGAGGGCACATTGATCCACCGAATCGAAAGCACCTTTTATGTCGAGAAACACGATAACGGGAGGGGGTCACCAAAAGCATGGCGGTGCTCCAACAATTGAGGCAAAGTGAGGAGGTGGTCGATGTAGCCCCGACCTCGATGAAACCCGGCTTGCTCCTCACGAATCTGGCTTGCACGAGCGCCAGTCAGTCAGTGGAGAAGGACAGAAGCAAGCAATTTAGAAGCAACTGAGGTCAGACGGACCCCCCTATGATTGCCGCATTCCGAACGGAAGCTTCCCTTGAAAATTGGGACTATGACGGAGTGGTTCCATTCTGCCGGGACAGTTTCCTGCTCCCAAAGTTTCACTAGCAACTCGTGTAAATCATCTACAAGAGCAGATCCCCCGAATTTGAAGAGGGCTGGGGGGATTCTATCGGCCTCTGCGGCCTAATGCAAGTTCAACAGTCTAATCTCACGTTTGACCTCTGCGCCTGTGAGTGAATCCAAGGAGACGGTTCAAAGGAAGAGCGCTCAATGCTTAAAGTGGAGTGCGATAACTCAGAGTAGTTAAACTGCCTTACAGTATTCGGCCCAACGCTCCACACGTTTTGACGAGCTGTGAATCGGCTGTCCACTCTCGTCGCGTATGTCGCGTTAACACGAGGTCTGCTGCCTGTTTCCCGTAGCAGACAGAATAATTTACGATGATTACCAACGGCAGCGGTTATTTCCATTTCAGATGCACCATGAGACCATCAGGCTACGCAGTCTCTCTTCAGGCTAGCACTCAGTTTTGCCCTGAGATTTTTGCGAGTATCATTGTATTCGCTTCCAGCCGGAATACGTCGGCGAGCATCCATAAATTCCAGAGATTGTGTAGAAACCCAATATCCAGTTTGGAAATTTGATTTCTGCATGAAGACATGCCGGCTGATTGAAACGTTTGACGAGTATGCAACCGGTAATCTTCGACGGTGGTCAGTTTGCGCTTACTCAGCCCGGATGCCAGCGTACTTTGCTGCACATTCTGGACACCTGACTTCGCCAGTTGGATGGCGTCTGTGCGCTCAGAGCGACGTTGCGGACGTCCGCCGAAACGCACCCGAAAGTCGGAACACAAGAGCGTGATCGGAGTGCACGCTGGTGCTTCAAATCGAATGACTGTTTTGTACGCAGTCTCTCCAGCGGTAACTAATAACAATGTGATCAATTTGCGTCCAATGCTGGTGGGCGCCAAGTCACTCTTCTTCTGGCGCTGTGTCGAAAGTTTGTTCTCGCGAGAAAAAGACGAGCATTTTCACACAACTGTAGCAACCGCTCACCGTTATCGTTACGGGAGCCTACACCATGTTGGCCGCCTAGATGAAGCTCGTCAACGGACACTTTTCTGGCTTCAGCGTTTAGATCACCAGCAAGCACCACATTATCCTTGCTTCTTCTGTAACGAAGAAGAGCGTCAAGTTGATGATAGAAATCATCTTTCACCGAATCATGCCTGCAGTTTGTGGAGGCGTAAGTCGCAATGACAAACAGGCACTGTTTGTCCCCGCGACCGGAGCCTGGGACGAGCCAGCTAATTTAACAGCGCACATTCGGCTGTTGACTGCGATCCAGTCGATCAGAGCAGCTTCAGCCGTGGGATTCAAAACAATGCCGACGCCAGCTTAACTTGCATTTGAAGTTGCGTCATCGCCAGACAGGCGCAATGAGAATGTGCCACCATTGTCGCATTTGGTGGATCACAGGGAAAGTACGAACCTCGAATCTTGCAAGCGCGTTTCCGAGACACAGCAAATATCGATCATTAGGGTCTCGAGTGTTCGGTCAAGTGCTGCCTGTTGGCCAATCTGTAGCAAAGTGCGCATCTTGAGGCATGCCAGTCTTAGCGAGGATCGAGGACTCCAAAGGGAAACAGATGAACTGACGTTGTCCGCTTGGTCAAACATGGACTTGTCGATTGGACTGGAGCGACGCCTTGTGATTGTGTGTGAGTTGAAACTAGAAGACAAGCGACTATTGAAGCAAGGTGGGGAGGTCCAAGAATTGGGGGATTGAAACCGGGGGCGATAAAAGTGAAGTTGGATTGGGACACTAAAGATGAAAAAGAGCATGAGGATGAATAAAAAGGCCGGAAGGCCTGAGCAGTAGCATCCAAACCTCTATCCATCCTGATCGATGCAGTAGGTAGGGCGCCGTTTATTATCCTCTGCCACGGCCAGAGAATCATGAGATCGTTAGGAGGAAAATTCATGGTGTATTGCGTGAGCAGCGTACTGTCAGATTGTCCAGGCCTAGACTGGAGAATGATTAGGATTCTCTACTAAAGCCTTTGGTTCAAAAACCATACCGCAAGGCAGCGAGATTTTGGCACTGGACTACAGAAAGCCCGTTTTATGAAGTAAGAAGCCACACTCCAACCCCCAACCATGAACGGATTAAACAAAATATACTTGCGAAGAAATTTTTTTGTTAAGTCTCTTCAGGCATAAACAAGTATGAATCAAGTTGACATTAAAGCAACAAGCTATTTCTGGCTTCGCACAATTAAGGCTGGTCGGGTGTGTAGCGTGTGGTATGCAGTGGGGAAATTTGAACATCGCCATTGATACTTGGCGTAAACTCAGCTTACCAGTCCATGATCATGGCAAGGTCAAACTTCGCACCAGCGCCTTCTGCTTGCATAGCTCTGGCTTCAGCCTTTTGATCGCGATGACTTCCGCATTTGCCATCAAATGCCTTCTGAGTCCCCTAGGGACCCAATTATATATACATATATATATATATATATATATATATATATATATATTATACATCGTCTTGGAAGAGTCCTTGGTTTGAACACGGTGTTCACTGCTCACAATTTGTTCCAACATTGGACTTTGAACCGTCTGGACAGCACCATGCCATAGAGAAACAAGGGAATGCTCTGCTACCCGTTTAGACAGGCGTCTGGTCCTGTGTCTGATGTACCGTGCACCACACGTGCACAGGTTATGAGCGGAGCAGTCTCGCCAAGGACATGAACTCTAGCGTCTGGGTACGTCTAATTCACTGCGGTGGTCAAAGAGAATATCTGTGGTGCACGGTAGATCAGACATGCAACCAGACGCCTGTCGAGGTGGATAGCGGTACTGTCAATACGGTTCCAAGCCCAATGTTGGAAAACCTTATGAACAGTGGACACCGTGTTCAAACCAAGGACTCTTTCATGACGATTTTTATTATTTCTAAATGGGTCCATAAGGGACTCAGAAAGCATTTGCTGGCAAATGCGGAAGTCATCGCGATCAAAAGGCTGAAGCCAGAGCTATGCAAACAGAAGGCACTGGTGCGAAATTTGACCTTGCCATGGCCATGGACCAGTCAGCTGACTTTAGGCCATTTGATCTATTTCGATGTTCAAATTTCCCCACTGAATACGACACCCCACAGACCCGACCCGACTTAATTGTGCTAAGCTAGAAATAGCTTGTTGCTTTAATGTCAACTTGATTCATACTTGTTTATGCCTGAAGAGACTTAACGAAAAGGAATTTCTTCGCAACTATCTTTTGTTTACAAAGTCGATTTCCTGATCAATGAAGCGTTTGACGTATGTAGTAATAATGTCCTGTAATCGGATCCTGCAACAGACATCGATAGAGATAAACAGGCATGTTGCGTAGTCTCTATAAGAGTTCGCTTGTTGAATTTTTGCCAATCGAAACGAAGATCGGCGCCGAAGGAGGGCCGCTGGTTGGAATCTTTCAGTGTCGGTGGCATAAGCATCAAAAGTGTATTCAAAAGATATCTCCTATACCGCATTATTCTATTTCGCTGCTCTACCTCTCGTAGATCTGGCCGAATTTGATCTCACAGTTTTCTTGTGATTGGCGGTCGATTTTGTTTCCACTTTAGATGGTACATACTTAGTTGCAATTATTTTGCTCGCTTTGCGCATTATCGGGCAGTAGCTACTTAATTTGAGACAAATCACGGACTGCCGGCTGACAGCAGACACGAGGACAAAACCATCGGTGATGGGGATCAGTGTTTGGAGGACCAACACAAAATTACGCCTCATGATGCTCTTGCAGAGCTTATAGCCTATAGACCGTTATCTCCTGTGACTGATTTTAGAGAAATGAAGGCAACTGAACTCTTCTCAAACTTTCTTGCGTATTTTGCCTGGATTTCGATCCCTCCGGCTTGATTGGCTCTGAATGTGCTTGACCAGTATGACCATAAACTGTGAGATTGCTTTGCTAATTAAGAAAACTAAGGCGACTCCTTAGAAGTTGCGCGATGGACGATACATTGTGTAACAATCTACCCAACATGGTCATTGTTATATGTGAGCTAGGATTCTGCCAAAGCTGTGCCGCGTAGGCCATCGCGGGGACGTAGAAGCCCGGTCCCTCGAAACGTTTTTGAATACTAGGTGAGCTATTAGTGGATCGAGAGAATGTAACGTCCATACGCCTCCATCGAAATGCGATCAAAAACAATAGAAGCACCCAGTCCTTTGTCAAGAGGTGACTTTCCTCCTATTCTCGTGTGAAATTGTAATAATACATAACTCACGTTAATAAAGTTACCCACGGCTGTACGGTATATAATGGTCGTCAGAGTGGCGTTCTCTGTAATGATTTTCCTCGGAATGATAATATCTTGAATTGCGGCACCACTTTGCTAATGTTAACTCAGTGTATGGATGTGGGTCCATTAAGTTGGGTTTTTCATGTTGGTTTGGGTAAGTTTTCGTCGCTTTCTCAGGTGACGGTGATCTCCCACCATCGTCGTTTTTATCAAATCTCTCACGTTTCTCCTCAGGCAATTATGTGTTGTGCGGCACCTGTCAATCTTCCGAAACCGATCTGTGCAAGGATTCCCGTCTTTTGTTCCTTCATTGTCGTCGCTGTGGCTCCAAAATAACCGTGAAAAACGTTACCTCTGGCTTCCAGGCCGTTACAGGAAGACGCGCTGCTATTCGTGCAAGAACTCAGTGAGCCACAACTTCACATCTGACTTTCCTCCCCTCTGGTCCTTATCTGGGCTTATTTCTCACTGTTGGTGCAAACGTTTGCTTCAACCCGAGAGCGCAAATATTTTGAATAGCTTCGTGTGATGTCTTTCTAAGACAATCCAGTTTGCGCATTCTTGACGAACAATGTTGTCCCTCGATTGCAAGCCTCATTTTCCTTGCTCCCCTTCTTGTACAGCACCTTTGTACTCGTTTCAGTTTTCTCTATTGCTCCCTACCTGTGTAGTTTTTCTTTCTTCCATGGAGAAAAATGAAGATTCTGCAGTTTCTGACTTTCCTACGTTCTGATTGCGCAGCTTTTTCGCCGCATCGCGCATACGGCTGTTGTTTGCGCTGCCGTTCTGTTAAGTGGTGCTTACACACTCTTCGGAACACCTAGGTCTCTGGTGTTTTTCAAACTTCTATGTTTGACTACTCGATTAACATTGATTTTCGACCATTACGTACCATTTTCTTTCATTTGCTCTCTCCGCGTATCACGAAAGGTGAATAAGCAAACGCGCTCTAGAACCGCTGTCTTATGCCCAGTTTACGTATCTGTCATGCTGTACCGCCCGGTGTCTCCGCTCCTCTGCCCCACTAGCACCTGATATCCATATACGGTTCCGTGTCCCCAATGTACGGCAACATTAAAATTGACTTATGGGTGCCAAATTGGTTCCGACGCTTTGTCTAGCAACCGTCTCGTTCAACGGCTGTCAACATCATTTGGTGGCGAAGTGTCACATCGAGGTCTTCATCAGTTTACGATCCCTATCTGGTTCAAAAGGCGTTCATGGGTAAACATGCTTATCACTTATGAGAAGTGTATCCTCCCGACATATTGTTTGCACTGATGTTACTCTCCTTACGTATCCTTTAATTGTGCGCGGTATTCAGTAGTCTTGAGTCCGGGGTTTCCGTGACGTGCTTCACGTCCCCATATGTCCTGCGAGTCGTATCAACCGGGCCCGCGCTGATTGTTTTTTTCGAATTCCTCTCCATTGGGGCACTGATCAAACATGATCATACTAGTCATCCGATGTTTAATGTCGCACCATGGTTGCTGTTGATTGCCTTCGAACAAGTCGCCTCACTATTAGAATTCGCACTACTACAGTACGGCTCTACTATCTGTTGGCGTGCGCCTTGCTTCATCGTATCTAAGTCTATCACTCAGCACTGTAAGCGACAGATTCACTTGGAAACTTTTGTGCAACGCGTCCCCCTTTTCCCCAGGCATCAGTTCAAAAAGTTGGGGTTCGTGGAACGGTCCTCATTACAAAGCGGATAATAAAATAGCGCAATGCGTACTTCAATCATGCTCGCCTCCATCACAATTCGGTAACAGCAACTCACAGCTCTTGCCAAATAGTCAACAAAGATGGCTTTAAAAAATAGTACGTGTACGAATGACTGTGCCCCAACATCTGTCCCTTTATATGATGGGTTAAGCAGTGGAACTTACCCATCTCCCGAACGAAATAGCTGTGATGTACAAATGAGTTTATGAGCGACACTCACAACAATGCCTAAATGGCACAGCGGGTGGGCATCTTAAACACAATAAGGACGAAACAGCTGATATAGCGCGATGCTAACCTGCTCTCAGCGAGACGATTTTACAAACTGCATGTAGGTCTACTGATTGTGAACACAAGATCAGACTGACAGTTTGGGCAGGGAGGGTGCACAATGAAGTAATTTGTAGTCGACAAAACGATATCACGGTATGATACATTGGTGAACCACCTACAAACACCCTGCACTGTAAATGGCTTGATCAACTACCTCTAGTCCCTCGTTCTCAAACATCATGTGGCAGGTGATTCTGCAACAACACTTTGAAGATGCGAAGCGCAAGCCTAGTGTATGGACGAATCTAGGTTATTCAGGGTTTACTAGGCTACTCCAATATCTTCAAACAGCAAGACGATATCGTTCGCAAATTCATGCCGGCCATGCAACCTTTCAGTGCTCACATCGTGAGCTTCCGAAAGGGGACACTCCATGACGTCCACAGCAAGGTTGAGCAAAAATGGTAAAATTGGATGACTTTGGAGAATACCACTTATTGTCCGAATGGCGTCTGACTATTCATCTTCGACCGCGACGCGGCCTGTGGTATTTGAGTACAGGGCAGGTAAAATGTTCACACATTTCATGGTAACCCGTTTCCGCGCGAGTATTTCGAACGGAATAGAGGGGTCGACTGAGTCGAAAGCACTCTTGAAGTCCAGGAACGCAGCTATTATCAATCTGCTCTAGCATTTGCTGCAGTGTGAATATGTGGTCTCTACAGCCTTGTCCTGGGCGGGAACCCGCTTGCTCTTCCCTTATCTGGGATTACTGTTCCACAGTAAGTTGACGAGGAATTGAGGCTAGTACCTTTGTCACCACCGGTATTAGGCTAATACCCCTGTGGTTAGCACAGTCGGTGCAACTGTCTTTCTTCTAGATTGCCACTGTCATCAGTTCACTCCAGCTAGCGGGGATGGCCTCTTTCTCCCATACGTGCTCGGACAGGTGGGTCAGCGCTTTGCAGAGGACCGCATCACGATCCTTAAATAGTGCGGTACGAGGGCATCCGGGTCAGCAGCTCGAAAGCAATTAACGGCTGCGATTGCGTTTCGCACCTCAGCCTCTGACGGAACCTAAACTAACCGTCCATGGCTCGGCCTACACCGCCTGTGGGGAAACGGGTCCGTAAGCAGGGAGCCAGCTGAACTGCTCTCGAAAGCGCTCCGCCCACCAAGCCAGACGGCGCCCCATCTTTTGAATTAGGGCACCCGTTATGTATCTAATGCCCGGGTTTCTGTGACCATTGCCGCGGATCAGTTGGAAGGGTTTTGCGATAGTCACTTACTGCCCACACTTCCTCCGTTTCTCCAGTCTTACCTGTTCATTAGGCTTCTTCGTCAGCACGCGATCTGCGCATTAGTCCCCGCCTCATGGTGTTTTTTTCTGCATTCCCACATTAGCTGACTTCTCGAATATCTGATCCGCTGGTAATTGTTAGTGCCGCAAGCAGTGGCTTCTGCACCATGCATGGAGGTCGCAATTCTATTCTAATCGAAACAGCTGCTTGGTACCCCCCTCCCGGCGAGATTCATGGAAAAACGGTGTACCGATGAACAATGACGTATAACGATTAAGAAAGTCACTGCCAGACTAGTCCCGTAGGATGCCCAGAGTAAAGATTATGAAACCGAAGGTTACCAAAATAACAAAAAGGAAAAAATCCGGGTTTTAATTGACATACCCAGCTATTCACATGACGGTGTTGTAGGTCACCAAACGTCCTCGTCGTTACGGAGTGAGCTGGTGAGCACGGTTTGATTTGCACTGTATCGCCTAATGCAAGTGGGGCAGCGTGTCATCAAAATGTTAGTGTGGTGGCAAAGATGACGTTAGTTGGAAGAGTGTCCCGCGTTCAGGACACCCGAGGAGGGAAAAATTTTGTTGGCAATCAAGTTAACTGTGCTGCGTGCGAGTTTGAGCTGGTGGCCTCTCATGTTAGTATTTTGGTTGAGTGTTCTGGGTTCGCCATTATAAGGTAAATCATGGCGAGGTCTCCTCGTTGTCGCCGACATTCACCACTGTACAGTGCCAGGGCTTGCAGTATGCGTTGGGAGGGGACGTGAAACAATCCCCTAACGAATTTGGTCGCCCTGTTTTGCATACCTTCAAGCGCATTAATACCGTATTTGAGCCAAGGACGCCGGACCTGGATCAGTTACTCCACATGGGGCCTCATGTAGGTGTTCAGAATTTGCGGAAAGAACAATGGTTCTAACTTTCCGAAAACTCTCCGTATGAGTCTGAGACGCTGACTGGTTCTTTTCATCTTGTTTTGAGCAGCTAAGGTCATCCTACACACTTATCCTGAGGTCGCTTTCCTGGGAAGCATGTTGCAACTGCTGGCCCCCCGGTTGACATTCGGGGGTGAGCCGATGGTGTATGCTCACAACTTTGCATTCCGCCACCTTGAACTGGAGCTGCTTTTCGGATGATCACGTATAGGCCCTATCGAAATGTTTGCAGTGCCGCGTGATCGTCCACTTTATTTGTTATGCCAGTTTTTGACATCGTCTGCAAATAATCGGAAGTCCGACTAAAGCGCACTGGCAAGATCCTTGATGGAGAATCCGAATAGATGTGGTCCCAGTACTGATCCTCGGGGTACACCACGCTGGACTTCAATTAGGTCGAAACTGGATCTGCGGACTCACATTCAACTGATGTTGAAGAAGGTTGCTTATCCAACCTAGGGCAGGGTCACCGATTCCATGATTTCGAAGCTTGTGAAGAAGAATGTGGTGGTCCAGTCGGTCGTACGCTTTAGGTGCGTCCAGGTAGATGACGTCAACTACTCTGGCATCGACTGATTCCGTCCAGCTTGCTCGTGCTAGCAGCAAGCTTTTAGTGCGAAACCGTTATCGACTGAATCCGGGCTGATGGATCACTATAATGTAGTTGCTCTCAAAGTAGCCCATAAGCCTCTCTGCGAAACTACCTTCCATTAAGTTGGATAGCACCGGGAGGAGATTTACTGGATGGTAGTTCGAGGGCCCCGCAGGATTACCATTTGTAAATAGATTATTCCATGTTTCCACATGGTCAGAACTTGCATTTCATCAAGTCCTCGTTGTAAGAACCTAGCTACTTGTTCTTCGATATTTATGATTTCTGTCTTTAATGCCTTCGATCTTATGTCGTCCACTTTAGGAGAGCTGTGCACGCGCAAGTACAATAGTCTTTTCATCGCATTTGCTGCCGTGAACGATACGTGGCTTAACCTTGGGGGCAATGTGAGCTGTGTCAAAGGCGCGTGAGATGACCACTCACTCTGGGAAATGTGAATGTAGTGCTACCGAAACTCGTTTGCTGCCTCTTGTAGATAGCGCCGGACCACCTGCTGAAGGTAGAACTGGGATTCCGCGCATGATTAGAGTCAATCCTTCTTCCAAAACGACCGACAGTCCA